CAAGAAGTGAGCCTTTAATCCCAGTGAGTGATGGCAGATAGCAGAAAGGTATATAAGGCATGAAGACCAGGAACTAGTAGCATTTGGCTGGTTAAGCTTTTAGGCTTCTAGCAGCAGTTCAGCTGAGACCCATTCTGATATGAGGACTCAGAGGCTTCCAGTCTGAGGAAACAGGATCAGCTGAGGAACTAGCGAGATGAGGAAGCTGTGGCTTGTTCTGCTTCTCTGATCTTCCAGCATTCACCCCAATACCTGGCTTGGGTTTGATTTTATTAATAAGACCATTTAAGATTCATGCTATAGGAATTAAAAAGTAAAAATTCAGAATTATAGTTGAACTCCCTGGTTATTGTTTCTTCAGGGTATCTGTTGATCATCAGAGCCAGTCCGAAGTGTGAGCAGTGCTGACAGTGGGAATCACCATGATTTCCAAATGTGGTCTCTTGACAGAAATGATTCAACGGAAGTCCACCTTAAAATAATAAATAAGCTATGATACACTTCAAACATGAACAGTCATAAAAATCAGAATCAAGGTTTCTTTTAAAAACAGGACTTGTAGGGCTGGCGAGATGGCTCAGTGGTTAAGAGCACTGACTGCTCTTCCAGAGGTTCTGAGTTCAATTCCCAGCAACCACATGGTGGCTCACAACCATATGTAATGAGATCTGGTGCCCTCTTCTGGCGTGCAGGCAAACATGCTGTATACATAATAAATAAATCTTTAAAAAATCTTTAAAAAAAATAAAATAAAAACAGGACTCTTAGTGGACATGGTGGTGCATGCCTCTAATCCCAGCACTTGGGAGGCAGAGGCAGGAATATTTCTGAGTTTGAGGCCAGTATTTTATGAATCACTAATACAGAAAATGCTGCCATCCAGGCAGTGGTGGCGCACGCCTTTAATCCCAGCACTTGGGAGGCAGAGCCAGGCGGATCTCTGTGAGTTCAAGGCCAGCATGGTCTACAGAGTGAGATCCAGGACAGGCACCAAAACTACACAGAGAAACCCTGTCTCGAAAAACAAAAAACAAACAAACAAACTAATGCTGCCAATTGGTATTTGCCTTACTGTACATTTACATCATTTTCAGAAGGATTCAAAGGGTTATAGTTGGAGAGAATATGTGGATTAGAGCCCAGTGTGGGGTGCACACCTGTAAGCTAGCATTTGGGAAGTGGAAGCAGGAGGATTTAAGAGTTTGAGGCTAGCTTGGGCTATATGAGAACTGGTGTCAAATAAAAGAATGAATGAATGAATGACATGTGCCTTAAGGCTTTTGTGACATTTAAGATGTAAAGAAGGAAATTAAAATGCAAAACACTAGGCAGTATCTCTTGGCAATAATTTCAGTGAACCTGACTCTGTTACAGAGAAAATCAAGAGTCGGTGCAGTACACACAATTATCACTTTATGCCAAGGGAACATATCTTGTGTTGGCAACAGTATACGTCCTGCTGACAGAATTCTAGGTGGCTGATAGATTTTATTAACCATGTTGGTATACAGGCCTCTTTCACTGAAAAATGTCCAGGAGAGATGAAGAGAACATACCCAAAATTAAGAGGGAGAGGCCAGGAACTGTGTTCAGGAGGCATTCTCTAAGGTCCCTGTGCCTGGGACTCAGAACTTGAGGGGAATGACAGGTCAGTACTCAGGCTGTTTTTGTCATAGTACTTGTCAAACCCCGGCTGCATAGCAACCTCCATGGCCAGGACCTTGGGAGCACTACCCCTATACAAGCACTTCATATTGCTCTCCGGGCTTCTCAGATGGGGGCTCCACAGACCAGGGGTGGTTGCAGGACAGGCCACGGTCAGCATTCACTTAGTCATCCAGGCCATCAGTATCCAGCTGCTGTCACCCTTCCTTCTCTGTGCCTCAGTCTCTACGAAGCACTGGCAGAGCTCCTTGGTGATTTCCATACTTCGCAGCTCACATTCTACTTCGTCATTTAAATCCAGCTCCAGCTCTTCCTCTTCATGTAGTGCTCACTTTCTTTTGTGGATGCCTGGGTTCTGCTGTCATGCAGAGGCTGCCAGGCTCCAAGGATGCCTCGCCTCATAAGCAAGAGAGCTCCAGAGAAGAACTCCATATGGGGAGAACCATGGGAAAGTGAAATAGGAATCCCTAAACTTTCTGTAGGCATTCTGTGATTTTGAATCCAAACCACTGCATGATGATAATGTCACCAGTATCTTGTACATACTCTGTGAGAATACCACAGTACAGTAGCTCTCCATTTTGATGCCATTACTGCCCTCTCCAATTGCAAAAGTTCAATTGCAGCTTGAAGATCTCAGGCAGTGGGCAACCACAGGCCTAGTTCTCAGTGTGTGTGTGTGTGTGTGTGTGTGTGTGTGTGTGTGTGTGTGTGTGTGTGTGTAGGGTGGTGGTGAATTCTTAATAAGCTCTTGAATAAATGATATATAGATCTAATAGTAGGATGGTCTTAAACTCCAAAAGTCTGAGAGACAATGCTTTTTTTGCTGTTTGTTTTTTAGGATTGTTGTTGTTTATTTGTTTTTGAGACAGGATTCTGTAGCTGGAGAGTTCTCCACTCCTGCCTGGCCCACGGTCAGGACAAAGCTCTCTCACCCACCAATCCCACAGCTGCTCAGACCCAACCAAGTAAACACATAGAGACTTATATTACTTATAAACTGTATAGCCATGGCAGGCTTCTTGCTAACTGTTCTTATATCTTAAGTCAACCCATTTCTATTAATCTATAAGTTGCCATGTGGCTCATGGCTTACCGGTATCTTAACATCTTCTCATGGCCTCAGCCTTCCACTTCCCAGAATTTTCTATTTTTCTTGTCCCGCCTATACTTTCTGCCTGGCTACTGGCCAATCAGTATTTTATTTATACAGAGCGATATCCACAGCAGGATTCAGGACCTTATGTAGCTCCAGTTGGTCTGGAACTTCTTTGTTTTATTTTATGTGCATTAAGTTTGCCTACATGTATGTCTGTGTGAAGGTGCTGGATCCCCTGTAATTATGGTTACAGACAGTTGTGAGCTGCCATGTGGGTGCTGGGAATTGAACCCAGGTCCTCTGGAAGAGGAGCCAGTGCTCTTAACCTCTAAGCCATTTCTCCAGCCCAGCCCTGGAACTTTCTATGTAAACCAGGCTGACCCTGAAATTCTGGCCCTGTTCCTGCCTCTGCCTCCTGAGTGCTAGGATGACGGCAGTGTGCTACCTCACCTGGCCTTTAAATCAACAATAACTGAGAAGTATCATAAGGTAGCAACATTGCCCTCTGATGTCTATTTTGAAGTGACACACTCACTTCTTTGGAAAAAAAAAAACTCTGGATGTGATTAAATTCTGGCAAAGACCCACCGACTTCTATGTGAAACAGGTGAGACTTGATTTGTAAAGCCAATGTGAGTAATCTGAGGAGGTTAATGTAACCAGTGAGATGGAGAGCAGCTGTGTTTACCTCACACTCCTCCCTGGTTTTGTGTTTTATTTATTCATTTATTTTTACTTTACTTACTTATTTTGTGTAGGGGCATATGGAGATCAGATGACAACTTGTAGGAGGCGGTTCTTTTTTTCTTGTAGGTCCCAAGGACTAAACTCAGGTCATCGGGCTTGGCAGCAAGTGCCTTTTACCCAGTGAACCATATGGCTGACCCACTCAGCTGTTTAAAAGATAGCCAAAGTCTTTTAGCTATGAGAAAAGTAATTCTGTGGTCTTATCAAATCCTATAATGCAGATGCTATTCTGTTCATGGATGTTAATTTTTGCTATAGAAAATACTTTTTAATGGGATGGGGAAAGCAGTATCAATGTTCAGATACAGGACATAATACACAGTGGTGCTTAAACCAAATTCTAAAAAAAGTTTTATTGCATTCTATTTATTTTTTTTTTGTGAGTATAAAAGTAACACAAAATGCTGTGGGAGTCAGAGAATAACTCATAGGAGCAGGTTCTCTGCTGAGAATTGAACTCAGGTCGGCAGGGCAGTCTTGGTGGCAAGTTCCTTATTCACTGAGCGATCTCACAACTCCCCAAATTCTTTCTCAGTATTATTAATTTTCTACACTAGTACACAAAATATTACATTTCATCAATACATCTTCACACGTATCATTATTATCACTGAACCAAATTCTTACAGCGTGTCAGCTACTTCTGTTTCTATGACCAAAAGCAATTTAGAGAGGAAAATTATTTTTGGCTGATGGTTCCAGAGGGTCAAAGTCCATAATGGTGGTAAGGCTTGACAACAGGTAGGAAGCTGGACAGTCACATTTTGACTGTGTACAGGCAGCAGAGAGCAGATTGGAAGCAGGACAAGGTTTCTTCCATCTTTAATAGTTTTAAAATCTCTCTCTCTCTCTCTCTCTCTCTCTCTCTCTCTCTCTCTCTCTCTCTC